TAATACAGGGCAAGATTCTGAAATACTAACTATTTTCTCTTTGTTGCTTTTGAGAAGAAATAAAGGTCTAATGCAATTCAGGAGAATGAATCAAATAGTTTCACAGAGCTGCAAAATGTAATGCTGTCAACCCACCTCCCTGAGAAACCATTCCTTTAGCAACCCACGCTATTTAGTGTGTTCTTAGATCTTCTGTAGAGCCTTGAATCCTCCCTAAATTTGACAGCATTGTTCTGCAGCTGTGGGAAGGGTGATGCTTAAAATTTCCTAAGTTTCAATGGGAATAAAACTTACTGCCTTAAATGACCACATCTCCTCTTCCTCCTCAGCATGTGCAAGAAGGAAAAACATAACTGTAGAATCTCAATGTTTTCCTCAAATGTTAATGAGTTTGCTGTGAATGGATATTTCATAAATCAAATGTTGGCTCAATCTGTGTGCCTATCAAAACAATTTAAATGTGGGCGTTATAGTAGATGGGTTTGTGTTTGGATTTAGTCATCAAGCCAAGACTGACCTGACCTTTCATGCCAGCAGACAACTGACAGACTTAACCCCGAATTCTACCTGATTCTGTGCTTTGGTACTGAACATTGTAACTTTATCCATCACATTTTAGTTTGAGATGGGGGGTGTTTTTGTCATAGGACACATCAGTTCATATACTCATATTTTAATTCCCAACATTTTGTATTTTAAAAGAACTTTGCAGCGATGATGCAAGTTTCCAAGGCTGATTTCCTCATAGCAAGTATTTACGTGTTTTAGTTTCTTATTATCATTTCAGATTAAAACTTCACAACTACCAACTAAGAATAATTTATCTGAAAATTCTTTCATTTTTAAAATATATCAGTGAAAATACTTTTTAAAGCTTAATTTAGACTGAAATTTGGAACTTTTTTCCATGCAGTTTTATTGGTGGAGGTTTAGAGCTTAATTGCCCAACTTAAAAAATAAAAGCTCCTTTCAGAGAAACAGTTGATAGGTCTTCATGCCCTAAAGAATCAGGCTATGACACAAAAATAAAACAAAAAATAACACAAAATTGTGAGAATAACAGGCTCACAATTTTGTATGTGTCACTCGTGTTCCCTTAGGTAAGCAGTCTGGGAGTTTGGAGCACGAAGGACAAATTTAGCTCCTGTCCACACAAAGTTTGGCTGCACTCCTGAAATCTGATCTGTGTGGGTGTGACTCATATTCTGCAAGACCGTCCCCTTGCTGAGGGGCTGCTGAGCAGGTGCGGGGCTCTTCCCACATGGATCACGTCCCTGGATTTGGATCCTGGAGACAAGTGCTATAACCAGGTCACCTCCCCGTGCTGGGGATTCAGCTATAAAGTCATTAATCACTCAACCACCAGAATAAAGCCCTTGAAGAAGCCCTCTTTGTGCCTGTCTTGCCCTGTAGACTTCCAAATATAATCTGTAGTGCTAAAAAGAAGAAATTTCCTCATAGCCAGTAAAAAGGAAAAACTGGGAGATTAAGCCCTCCAAAAGGTTTTAGTATATTTAGACATTATGTAAATAAGGGCTGCAAAAAAGACCCTGAAGATGATTGTACAGCTTTGAAGTAGAGGAAACAATCCCCTTAATTTTCATTCATAAATGAGAAGTAAATGCAATTTAGGAAAAGAAAACATTCTATGGGAATGAGAAAAAAAGGAAGACTAGTGAAAAAGTTTAGAAGTTTATCATTTTGCCTGAAGAAGAAAACATAAAGGAACAGCAGTGCATTATCTTAAAGGACAGAAAAATAAAATCTAATGTGCTTTACCATTTACAGAAAATAAGTGAAAAAATGCTGGAAAGGTCAAACTAAGCTTACATGGCTTCCAACCTTCTTCCCTGATATTCCGTGCTCCCTAGGTAAAAGCAATAACCTGACAACAGAAGCAGTATCTTTATTATTTGTTTAGCTGGAGGATTTAGTGTCCTTTGGAAAACTTCTCAAAATCATCTGGGGACAGTTTGCAAGTGAATCAGGTCTAGAGTTTGGTTCAGATAAACAGAGCTGCACAGCTAAAGATACATAAAGAAACTTTTATGATAAGAAATAGCAGGAGAGAGACATGCAATCACAGCAGGTTTGAGGAGGAGCCAGGTTACCTAAAAATGGTGCAGAAAAATAGAGTAGTTACAAGGTGAAGGATGAATCAAGACAGCAAGGTGGGATGGCAAGGTAGGAGGTTCTGTGCCTGATGGGGTATCCATGTGAATACCAAAGGCAGTAATTTTGGGAGTGGGAAATATCAGGTGTGTGCAGTGGTATGAGGTGACAGCCACACACAGAGATAGCAGGAGTAGTGCCTAATGAAAGAACCAGAAAACTGTTTTCCCACCTATTCTATGCTAGAGATGAACAAACAGCACAAATGAGGAAGCTACAACTTTCAAATGACCTACTCAAAAGCTTAGTAACTGAGATGCTTTAATCAAATTGCTTTTTATTGGCACTGGTCAGAGTCAAGGGCGCCAACAGCTGTGACCCTCCCAACCAGCCCCACTTGGGACCCACCCATGCCCCCTCTGCTCTTTAGTGCAGGAGCTCTACCTAAGCTGAGGGCTGAGCAGAACTCTTGCCTTTAAATCATGGGTGTGTTCAGTCCTGGATTTACCTGTATTGTAGTTGAGGTTCCAGGCCAGCTTCCTGCTCCTGGAGGGATTCTGCTGGCAGCCCTGCCTCTGCCTGTCCAGGTACTGTGAGGTTGTTGTCACTGATCTGCCAAGGTTGCTCCTTGCAAAACCTTGTTTGTGCTGGTCCCTGGTGTTCAGCTGCAAGAGTACTGCTGTTAGATTTTGGTGTTTTCCAGTAATAATAATTTTTACCATACCCTTTTTCATGCCATGGCTAAAGAACAGTGTTGTTGGAAAGTTTTACAGTGCCTGGAGTGAATACTGGGAGGCTTTTAAAGGCTTTATGCCCAGAGGAGGGGCAGAGGGCTTGGTTGTCCTTAGGCCAATGCCACTACCCTGGAATAAACAACTGGAAGTGGGAGGGAAATTCAGAACTCTCTGTAGGTTGCCTGCATTTTTTGACAGCATGTGCTAAAGCTCTCTTGCTAATTAGTGTGTTTGAGTAACCTTTGGTTTCTAATATTGATTACATAGGCAGCAAAATATTAAATGTTTCACAGTATCACCTTCAGAAGTTTTCTGCTACTTGTCATGAAATAAGGAGAGGGACTTGTCTAAAAAAAGATGGACAAGATGTTATGACAAATAATTAAAATGTCAAAAACTGTAGTGATAAAAAATGTTGCTGCCAATGCTGGAATCTGCAGGTAGCAAAGTATCATCAGCACCAGGATAAGCTCTGCTTTCAGGACTTGTGTGGCTTTCTAGTGCAATGAACTCTACTATAAATCTACTTTTTTACTGGTCTTGCTCTTCACTGCTGCCAGATGGCAGCAAATTACAAAAGGTTTTCTGTGTTCTGCTCCTCTTTATGTGGAATCCTCCTCTTTCAAAACAAAATGGTGCTGATTCCACATTAGAAAAAATTTATGATCTCTGAGAAAGGCAAAGATTTGATTTAATGTGTTATATAGGTAAAGCAAATGAAGTTTTGTCCATTATGTTCCTATTCCCTGTCATACTGGAAGCTTTTTGTTTCTATGTGAATATTTGTGTTCTGTGCTGAATTGAGTGGTTGTTTCTCTAGTTAACTTGTGTGTCTGGGAAATAGAATTTTGTTACTTTTCTAGGACTTTATTTTGAACCTCCCTGTAGTCTTAATATCCAAACCTATGAACAACTCAGGTTATATTGTATTACTATAGAACACAAGGTGCATGTGGATGGAAATTACTTCATGGAGAGAGCAAATAAAATTATTTTAATTCTTATTGTAAAGTTACTGTTAACTGACCTTTATCTGTTGGTGAGTGAGAGCAGAGTTCATCTTCTAAGGCTGAATAAATACTATTTCTAATGTAGAATTTGGCCTGAAAAGTTTTGTTTCTTTTTAAAAAAAAGCAAATACAGTGGGGGGAAACTTAAACTTCAAGAAAACGTAGAATACACCAGAGGAAAACCTTTGTGGTGTGTTGCTGGAGACTCAATCGACTAAATAATCAATTGTTGACTTGTTTTTTATCTGTAGCATATAGACAAAAAAAAAAAATCTCATGATGACAGTTTTGGAAAGGTGTTCTAATGAGAACATAAGCACTACTAGATACTGCTGAAAGCTGGATGAATTGCTTGCATGGAATGAGATTGCTTTCTCTGGGGTCTGCTGCTCCAGCTGAGGAGTCTGGCATTTGCCCCAGCACAGCGGCGGGAGAAATGGTCTGTTCAAACTCCGGGTGAAGTTTTTTAAGTCATGTGGAGATTGGAGATGTAAGTTGGTCACTCAGCCTCATTCAGGGAGGGATGCCCAAGACAAATTTGAGGGTTTTTTCTTATGCTTTAGTTTCCAACGACCTAATTTTCTACCTTACCAGGCAAAATTACCTCAGTTCAGCAATGTAAGGAACACACTTTGTTTTCAATGATTCCTAAAAGTGCCTGGGAAAGACTAATGCTGCTCACCTGTGCCGTGGATGCTGGCGACTCCAGGTGTGTATGTGGCAGCCCTAGTCTTGGAGGAGATGGTGCCGTTTGGACAGCTACTCTCTGAACATATTTCTAATCTGAAACAGAGATGGGAATAACCCCTTGTGAGGGCTCTGTAGGAGCCGCCCCTTAGGGATGCGGGGCCGCGTCCCTCACGGCGGGAGCGTTTTCCAGCCCTCGGGATCATGGGGCGTTTCCCGCCCTCGGGCTTGGGCGCTCTCTCCTCACAGAAGCAGCGATGTTTTTCCCTTGCAGGGAGATCTGTGTCTCCCCTCGCTATCAGCTGTGCTTCCCCTCCCGGGAAGAGCGATGTTTCCACCCGCCGCTGTCGGCTGTTCTCCCCTCGCACTCACAGCTCTCCTCGGGGCTCCGTGCCCGCCCCATCCGCACGTGAGGCGGCCGCTTACGCGGTAAACTTGAGCCTCTCGCGCTCCCGTCCGGGCGCCGCTGGTTCGTGGAGCACCAGCGGCCGCCGCAGCGGCTCTTCCTTCGCTGCTGCCATGTCCGCCCTGGGCAAAGCCTCCGGCGCACTCAAATCCGTGGATTACGAAGTGTTCGGGCGGGTGCAAGGTAATGGGGGCCTGAGGGGGGCTGCCGGGAGAGGGGTGCCGCGCTGAGGCGGCGGCGCCACCGCGCGTGCGCGGGGTGGGAGAGGCCTGAGGGGAGGCGGGAGCCGCCGTCGAGTTCCCAGAGGGACGGGAAAGTTTTTTTGCTGTGTGGTGTTTGTTTATTTGTTTTAAAATTTTAAATAGTTGTAAATAGTCCCCCTCCCTAAGGCTCGGCTCCCACAGGAGTACAGGCTGCTCTGTCCAAAGCAGTACCCATTCCGCGCACTTGCACTTGTGGGTGCTGTCAGCGCGGTTGTGTGGAAATGCCCCTCCGGTCCTTCCCATTCACACACTGCGGCGTTTTCATTACCGCCTAAATACAAATACATATTCATACATATATATTGTGTGAATACAATAATCGTGTGACGAAGGGAAGGCTCAAACACAAGTCCTGTTCTGTAATATTAACATCACTGAAATTGCCGTAGTAAAACACCACGGGGTGACTTGTATGCACATCATTTCTCCTTTATATTAACTGAAATTCCTACAGGTGATATGCTTTCACAGAACTTTTAATATTTTTTTTCTTTTTTTTTTAGGTGTTTGTTTCAGGATGGTAAGGCAATGCTGGATTTGCTAGCTACTTTATGGTGTAATGTTTCCAGAGCTAAAAATAAGGCAGCAGGTCTGTGGAGTGTAAACATATCCAGCCTTTGGTTGGATGGTTATATATTCTGAGTAGACTTTAAATTGTTTTATATTAAAATAGATTTTTAGAAGCTTAATAACGTGTTGCTTGTGTAGATTGTAGTTTGGATTACTTGTGATGTAACAGCCACAGGAATGTTTTAACACCTTAATATTTAGAAAGGTTAAATATGAAACAAGGTGTTTGAGTTTAATTTTTCAAATGGCAACTCAGTACCTGTATTTAAGGAAGGTTACTGTGGAAAAATGTGGGAAAAAATGTGCTGCAAATAAGCACTTTGTGGCTCATACCCTGAACAAGGGACTCCAGCAGCTCTGAAGTGCACCAGGTGGTTTTGCATTTCACAGAAACTCACAAAACATAATTCACCTAAGAATAGTGTTTTTGTCTCAAAGTAATGCCCCATGCTTAATATTAAACTTGAGAGATTTTATGTAAAGTTTATATTGTGAAATAATGCTAAGTGGAAATGAACAGATGTCTGTGGTGAAGTTTGCCTTGAATTTATTCTATCAAGATTAAAGGGTAAGTCCAAGCTTGCTGTACCTTGTTTTGAGCTGACCTGAAGCTGTGTGAATGCACAGCTCAGTTCCAGTCCTGAGCTGCTCTGCAGTACTGAGGAGGTTTGCAGCTGAAGTACTGTGCTTTTGGGCAAATTAGTTTGGAGAAGTTGCTCATAATCACCTTGGAAAACCTCTTCATAGTTAGCACCACTTTTTCATTGGCTACATCACCCCAAAGCACATTTTGTCTTTTGTAATGGGTCATACAGACCTGAAGTTTATCTCTTGATATTTCTGAATTTCATCACAACTGCATGGCTGGGAAACCATAATTTTTAGGTATTGCAGAAATATGCTTGTCTTTTTCTAGCTATTAGATTATGGCCTGTGCTGTTGTTTGTCAGTAGAAATGTAGCAGCTGGGGGTAGGATTTAAAAGATGAAAGTCAGGTGGAAAGGATTTGAAAGGGGACTGGGAAGTTTGTACATGTAGCAGATTTAATGAGTTTAAAAGCTGGTGATTGAAGGGTCAAATGAGCAGTGATAGAAGCTATGGAAAGGAATAAAGCAAGTACAAGGGAATGGTGTGGGATTAGTAGAGTCCTTTGTTATCAAAATCTTGTTCTTTTTGGAAAATGAGCTGTGGCTTCTGGAACGCCAGAGCTGCCAGGAACATCTGAATGTCTGAGGATGAGCATCACTCATGGATTTTTAATTTTTAAGTGTAGTTTTTACAGCTGGGCAAATGCAGGTGAGGGATTAAGTATTCTGTCTGTGGTGTCTGTGCTGGTACTGACTGTCCTCTTTCATTATTTCCCAAATCAGTACACAGAACAGGAAGCGAAGAAATTAGGAGTGGTTGGCTGGGTTAAAAATACCAGCCAAGGAACTGTGACAGGCCAAGTTCAGGGCCCAGAAGAGAAAGTGAATGAAATGTAAGTATTTCTGTGTTAGTTTTTTTTTTTCCTCCTTACTCTCATTAAAGTAATTTACAAAAGTGTTTTTAATGCAAAGTGACAAGTAGATCTGTGTGTCAGTAATGTAACAGTGTTTTCATTCAGCTTTGGAGGTAAGGAGTTGCATTCTTCAAGCTGTGAACAAGTCTTTAATCTTGAAAAATACTATGTTTTCATTTCTAGTGTCACACAGTTTGTTCATATATTTCCTTAACATCCTCATTTCTTGTGAAATGAAAAGAAAGTCTTTATTCATGTGACTAAAAATCTGTTTTTTAATTCATCAAAACTTCTCTTGTTAGAAAAAATAGAAGAACTTCTTGAAATGCTTTCTCAGTCTGTGCTTAAAAAATAGTTTAAAGGATACTTGGTTTAAATACTATGCTTTTTTTCTGATTTAAAATAACCTCCTTGTACATAAATACACATTATAGCCAAGGCTTGCAGTCTCTGTCATTTGGAAATGAGATTTGAAGTTTTTTGGTGTCTTTTAAAGAATGGGTAATAATTTTCATTATGAGATTTACAGTTTCCAGGAGCTTAAAGCTATCACTGAGGAAATGATGTCTGGAAAAACACAAAGCCTGATTGAGTTACTTCCAGCTATCATTTTTTGCAAGTGTGTACAGGGAGATTGTTGGGAACTTTAAAAAATCCTTCAGGGGTTTGTTCTATCAACAAAGAATGAGTGAGGGCAGAACTTTCCTTTTCTACATGGGAAATTAGCAGTGCACATTCTGCCAACACTTTCTCATACAAGAATTGCTTCAAAACTGAACTTGGATGAAGAGAAGTTGGCTTTGTGCACACAAAATTGTTGCACATTCTAGTCAGGAGATTTAAATTATTTCCAGTCATTTTCTTTGGTTTTGTGCTTAACATGAGGTTGCTTGTCTCAGGCTGCAAAACATTTGCAAAGCCAGAGAAATATCAGGCATTTTCTTGTATCAAATTTACACTTTTTGTAAGAGTTTGTTAATATCCAGAGGTCTTCATATTTTGTAAATTTCTGTGTTGGTGCCATATTTTTATTTAACTTGGAACATGAAACTGACCACATGAGAAACCAGGGTTTGTTTTCTGTTGATTATCCTACTTTTTAGTTTAAAAACACAAATCCAGAAGAAATAAAAAGTTGGTTTTGGTTGTTGCTCCTTTATTTCATGTTGGAAATCAATGTGTTCCTCTGATGTGGGAATAATGTGGCAATGTGAAGTCAAAGGGTGGTTTTTGACCCATGGATTATTAAATTTGGGGTCCTGGAGTAGAATTCTGAAATAGGAAACATTTTCCTTATGCTCTCTGTGCTCTCCAGTGTATGGAAAAGGCAGTGAGTTAATTTCTGTCATTAACTTGGTGAAGTTGCATGTGAAAAGGGAACTCTTTTGTGTAAACTGCTCATTTGAAAGACCCTTATTTCTCTCTGCTGGTACTAGTGAGTCATGGATCAAAATGATTTTGAGGTTCTGAAAGGCTTTTTCAGCATTTTTTAATAATGAATTCATTAGACTGTGTTCTCAGATTTAAATGTTATTTAAAATGCTATTTTTAAAAACCAAAACAACAAAATGAGGATTACTTCCACTGCAGGAAATTGATACTAACCAATAACCCTAAACATGTATTTGTATTCCATATGTGATAAATTACCAGGAAAAAATTCCATTACCAACTGCCTGTGCGTGTTCTGGTTTGTGTTTTAGCTTTTCAGGACTTAAAGACACTGTGATGACACTTGTTAAAAAATTGTAGCTCCTGCATGGTCAAGGAAACCAGTCTGCAGAGGAAGAAGTTCATGAATCAATAGTCAAATATTTCAAGAAAGCTTCCTGATGATGTTTGTTACCCTGTGGAATCTTTCCAGAACAGTTTATGCAGTGTAATTTAGACCAGTATTTCCACACTTGCCGCAGTTTTTCAATTAAACATGAAGCACAGAACAGCTTAAAAATCACATGGTGATGGTAATAAAATTTGTCAGTTGTTTTGCTGGTTCTGGGTTTCTAATGTTAATGTACTTTAGGGGGAAGTAGTAAAGGTGTTTTGGTCTGTCCTAAATAATATTTGTCTTTTTATGGTGCTTAATAGAATCAAGAACATGGACTAAAATGAGTAGGGATGCCCTTGGAAAGTACAGGTGTCCTACATGTAAATAGGCAAAACAGTGTAAGAGGGAGAAAGAGGAATAAGGGATTGAGAGGACAGTAAGGAGAGGGAAAGTGTAAAAAATGTGGGAAAAAGCCCATGAGGCTCTCCAGTGTTGCCAGAAGCATGCAGTGACTAACAAAGCCTGCCTTTGTTCTGGAGCAGGAATGCAGCAGATCTCTAATGCAGTGGTTTTCCAGCAGCTCCCCATTTTCTGCACTTTTTTATTCTATTTTTTTATCAGTAATTATATTGGGAGGCCCAGCCACAATATATCCAGTGCATGCTCAACCTCAACAAGCATTGGCTTTATATAATTTTTTTTTTTTAATGCAGTTTGCAAGGTAAGATATAACTTAGGCGGAACAAGAGGATGAGCAGACATCAAATGTAGTCATGCTGGGTTACTTTGGGAGGTGCCATGAAAATAGTTAGCTCTGGAGCAAACAGCTGAGCAGGAGCCTCCTGCCTTTGCAGAAAGCTGTGTTAAATTTTAAATAAGTATGAACAGCTGGGGCCTGGGAAGTGCTGCATGTGCAGGAAGTCATATCCCTGATTGGACCATTCATTTAGTGTTGAACATGGGTATGAATTTCTTTGGAAGTGCTGGGAGACTGATTCCTTGGTATTCTGTGGTGCTAAAATCTTGATCCTACTGAAAACTGGCAGAATGTACCAACCTCCCCAAGCCTCAGATTGCAGTCGGAATGCAACTGAGCTGCAGGAAACCCAAGGGATAGATGAGCACTTTCAGATATTTTCCTTTCAATTTTGCATTCAGTGGTTTTAATGAAAGCCTTTAGGGTCTCGGGGATTGGGTGACTTTTATGTGAAGTATTTTAAAGCAAATTTTTAAATTGGGAGATCTTGGAGAATGATTTAGGGGATGTTTTGGTATCCCTTGGTTTTTAACTCTAGATGGAGCTGTTAGTTCTGAAGATCCTCAACCATTCATGCTCTGTTTGCAGGAAATCTATTTTTAGACTGTTATGGTAGAATCCATCTTTTTCCTCACTGTATTTTATAGTCCTGTTCCCTTTGCTGCTTCTGCTCTACACAGATCACACCCCTTATCCTTAGATAATAAAAGCCCATTTTCAGAGAGTTTTACCTGTCAAGTCCCAAGAGAAGCAGAGCTGCACCATTTCTGAAACATAGTAAGATTTTATGGTAAAGTGGAGGCTTTTTATTGCCAGCCAAGGTATGAACTGATGATAAAAAATGGGGTAGAGGAGTGTAGTCCTTTGTTTTATTTTATTTTTTTCCAGGAATACTCACACCACAGGATTTTTCATTATATTGTCTTGTGCTATTTCTTCCATTTTATCCATTAAATAAGGTTGAGGCCTGTGTAGTCATGGTGGCTGTTGCCATAGCAACCAGCACTGACGGGCTGGAAGTTGCTTTCCTGGGAGAACTTTTTTTGAACTTCAGTGACAAATTGCTTCGTTATCCATTAAAAAGGGACGATAAGAGTCTTTGTAGAGTGCCAAATTCAGAATTTACTCAAAAATTCCAAGGTTTCAAATCAGGCTTGAAAATGTGAAATCTTAGGATATTTTTTAGGCACAAGCACAGTGAGTGTTCTTCCTGTCCCTAGAGAAAGTCAGAGTTCTAAATATAGATGGCTTGTCTTGGAAAAGGGTTTTAATTAGGAAACTAATACTAATTTCATTTGAATGTTGTAATTTTTATTACCAAAGTAAGTCAAGAAGAATTAAGATTTAACTGACACAAGACTTAAATTACTGTAGTGTATAAATGCATAGAAAAAATCTAGATTTTTACCATGTGGAAGAGGAGAATGAAACTCTGTTATTATCATATTTGTCATTGTTTCAGTAATCAGGTGTAGCCAAGGTTCTGGTCTCTACCAAGTGACTTTGAATAAATACCTTTTCCCCCAATATAATTTTTAATTGGTTGCAGAGAATAGCCCTTAAATGGAACTAAATGCTACTAAAAATACCTGTGGGGGAAAAAAAGTCTAGATCTTAATACCCAATTGATGTTTAGTTATAAAATGAACAGATTTTAGTAAATGTTTTGAGATTTTTTTCCATTTTAAAAGGATATTTTTTAAAAGTATTTTGCTCAAACTAGAAGTGTTGTTTAGGAGAAGAATCCTTATTTGCACATGGACTTGTCGGTGAGGCAGAGATGTGCCCCAGCAAGGATGGCTGAAATACTCCTGGGATATGCTGTTCTTGGGAAGCTGACAGTGACAGATTTTGGAGAAAGGGCAGAGGAAATGAAAATCACGTTTTTAAATATTTTTTAAACTTTGTTAAAATGCAAACTGGTGAGACGTGTTAGATTTGGTCTCATTTATGATGGTAATAAAGAACAGTTTTTACATTAATCACTGCTGAAGGTGATTTACAGTGTTTCAGTGAATCAATAGCAATTGACAGGAAAATATGATGGGAATTTTATAATTCGGTGTAGCTGCAATAATAAGATTAAGTTTTTAATGTTTGATTATAATATTTGTTTAAAGGTAAGACTAGTGTATACTGGAAAACTAAATTAGGCTCTAACTTTTGTGGGTAATAAAATGGTAAGAGTGATTCTCTTTTCATATTAAATGTTTGAGGTATTAATTTCTTTTTTATAATTATTTATTGCTTAAAATTGACAGTCTAAATTGGGAATTATTGTAGTTATTGGTCCTGTAAGTGAAATTTACTGAACTGTTATTGATGATGGCCTGGGAGAAACAGGAGTAAACCTTGTTCTTTGAGTTTTTTTAATAATATGAAATTAGATGAATGAACTTATTAATTTGTTGTAGAACTGTACTCTCTTTAAAAGCCAAGGAACGGGTCAGGTAA